TATATGAGGGCTGTCACTAGTCACACGGAGGGCTGTCACTAGTCACACGGAGGACTGTCACTAGTCACACGGAGGGCTGTCACTAGTCACACGGAGGGCTGTCACTCGTCACACGTCCGGAGCATATCGCCCCACCTGCACAGATAGTTGTTTTGCTTCTGTACAGTCACCCAAAAAGTCCTGTCGCGAACCATGACCGAGATTCAGACTCGTGAACCCGTAGCAGTAGTCACTGATACATTATTCTGCCCATAAATTCTTCGGATTCAGAGTCTGAATCTCGGGGTTCATGGTTCACGACAGGACTTTTTAGGCGTAACTAACGTACACATAACAGTGCCAGATACGATCATCACGACCCGACCACTGAGCTGTTCTCGCTACAAACATCCAATCATGCGACGTTTCAGTGAGGCTTTGTTGTGATTCGTCCGTGGCTGTTTGTGAGTCCACCAATACAGAGCACGTATAAGTGATATGAGATGTGTGTGTGTGTGGGGAGTATAAGGGAATCGAGGCCGCTTGGTGGATGGTGTTTACACTCCTGGGCCCCTGTTCCACCCTCGCTTGTAGTGTTCGAGCTTGGGAATGATGTTTGATTGAGCCTTATCTCGCGTCAGCCAGAGTCAGTTGTGATGGTTCTGTCGTTATGTTTTCACCATTATCACCCTGTATATATATATATAGTGCTGTAAAGTAGAATCAGTGAGTCAACTTTATCGTAAATGATCTATTAAGGTCGTCTGGTTAAAATTGGGTTGTTAAGGCTAATTACGTTTACAGGTTAATAATGTAAATGATAGACCAAAAATAAAGGTTATTATCATCCAGGTGATTGACACAACAGAACTTTCCCTCAACCACCAAAACGTCCTGCACACACACACACACACACACACACACACACACACACACACTCATACACACACACACACACACACTCATACACACACGCACACTCCTCACACACACACACTCATACACACGCACGCACACTCATACACACACACACGCACACACACACACACACACACACACACACTCATACACACACACACACACACACACACACACACACACACACACACACACACACACACACACACACACACTCATACACACACACGCACACTCATACACACACGCACACCTCATACACACACACACACACTCAGGCTGTAGGGTCGTGGGTACAGGCTTTGCTAAGAGGGTGTGTTGGATGGGAAGGAGACAATAACAAGGATACTACCCCACTTTCTCCCCTCCTCCCCCTTCCTCCCTCCCCTTCCCCCTCTCCTCCCCTTCCCCCTCTCCTCCTCCACCCCCACGCAGCACCATTGTCCCACAACCACAACCATTCGCAACGCTGATCGTGTGTGGGTGTGGTGCTAGAAGGGTGACTAGTGTGGTGCTGGTGCTAGAGGGTGACTAGTGTGGTGCTGGTGCTAGAGGTGACTAGTGTGGGTGCTGGTGCTAGAGGGTGACTAGTGTGGGTGCTGGTGCTGAGGGTGACTAGTGTGGGTGCTGGTGCTTGAGGGTGACTAGTGTGGGTGCTGGTGCTAAAAGGGTGACTAATGTGGGTGCTGGTGCTTGAGGATGACTAGTGTGGGTGCTGGTGCTAGAGGGTGACTAGTGTGGGTGCTGGTGCTAGGAGGGTGACTAGTGTGGGTGCTGGTGCTGGGGGGTGACTAGTGTGGGTGCTGGTGCTAGAGGGGTGACTAGTGTGGGTGCTGGTGCTTGAGGGTGATAGTGTGGGGCTGGTGCGAGGGGTGACTAGTGTGGGTGCTGGTGCTTGAGGATGACTAGTGTGGGTGCTGGTGCTAGAGGGGTGACTGTGTGGGTGCTGGTGCTAGAGGTGACTAGTGTGGGTGCTGGTGCTTGAGGGTGACTAGTGTGGGTGCTGGTGCTGGGGTGTCTAGTGTGGGTGCTGGGTAGAGGGTGACTAGTGTGGGTGTTGGTGCTAGAGGGGTGACTAGTGTGGTGTTGGTGCTAGAGGGGTGCCTAGTGTGGGTGTTGGTGCTAGAGGTGACTAGTGTGGGTGTTGGTGCTAGAGGTGACATAGTGTGGGTGCTGGTGCTTGAGGGTGACTAGTGTGGGTGCTGGTGCTTGAGGGTGACTAGGTGTGGGTGCTGGTGCTAGAGGGATGACTAGTGTCGGGGCTGGTGCTTGAGGATGACTAGTGTGTGGGTGCTGGTGCTGAGGGGTCAAGTGTGGGGGCTGGTGCTAGAGGGGTGACTAGTGGGTGCTGGTGCTTGAGGATGAGTAGTGTGGGTGCTGGTGCTTGAGGGTGACTAGTGTGGGGCTGGTGCTAGAGGGTGACTAGTGTGGGTGCTGGTGCTTGAGGATGACTAGTGTGGGTGCTGGTGCTAGAGGGTGACTAGTGTGGGTGCTGGTGCTAGAGGGGTGACTAGTGTGTGGGTGTTGGTGCTAGAGGGTGACTAGTGTGGTGTTGGTGCTAGAGGGTGACTAGTGTGGGTGTTGGTGCTAGAGGGGTGACTAGTGTGGGTGTTGGTGCTAGAGGGGTGACTAGTTAATGAGGGTGACTAGTGTGGGTGCTGGTGCTAGAGGGGTGACTAGTGTGGGTGTTGGTGCTAGAGGGTGACTAGTGTGTGGGCTGGTGCTAGAGGGGTGACTAGTGTGGGTGTTGGTGCTAGAGGGTGACTCAGTGGTGCTGGTGCTAGAGGGGTGACTAGTGTGGGTGTTGGTGCTAGAGGGGTGACTAGTGTGGTGCTGGTGCTGAGGTGACTGTGGGTGCTGGTGCTTGAGGGTGTCTAGGGGTGCTGGTGCTAGAGGGGGACTAGGTGTGGGTGTTGGTGCTAGAGGGGTGACTAGTGGGTGCTGGTGCTAGAGGGGTGACCAGTGTGGTGCTGGTGCTAGAGGGGTGACTAGTGTGGGTGTTGGTGCCAGAGGGGTGACTATGTGGGTGCTGGTGCTAGAGGGGTGACTAGTGTGGTGTTGGTGCCAGAGGGGTGACTAGTGTGGGTGTTGGTGCTAGAGGGTGACTAGTGTGTGGGGGCTGGTGCTAGAGGGTGACTAGTGTGGGTGCTGTGCTAGAGGGTGACTAGTGGGTGTTGGTGCTAGAGGGGTGACTAGTGGGTGCTGGTGCTTGAGGGTGACTAGTGTGGGTGTTGGTGCTTGAGGATGACTAGTGGTGCTGGTGCTAGAGGGTGACTAGTGTGGTTGCTGGTGCTTGAGGGGTGACTAGTGTGGAGCTGGTGCCCTTCACCCCGTGTCCTCCTCCACCCTCCCTGTCTCTTCTCCCCCTCTCCCTCCTTCCTCCCTGACCCCCTCCCCCACCTACCCTCCTCCTCTCCCCCACCTACCCATCTGCACCCTCTTTCCCCCATCTGCCCCTCCTCCCCCACCTGCCTCTCCTCCTCCCATCTGCCCTCCCCACCTGCCCCACTCCTCCACCTGCCTTCCTCCTCCTGCCCTCCCCCGACCTGCCCCCCTCCCACCTGCCCTCCTGCCCTGTCCTCCTCCCCCACCTGCCTTCCTCCCCCTCCATCAGCCCTCCTCCCCCACCTGCCCCCTCCTCCCCCACCTGCCCTCCTCCCCCACCTGCTCCTCCTCCCTCACCTGCCCCTTCCTCCCTCACCTGCCCCCTCCTCCTCACCTGCCCCTCCTCTCACCTGCCCCCCTGATCACCACATTAGTTTTCCGTGAAGGCTAAACCCGCCTCCTGTTAACGACAACCCACAACTAACGTGACCCAACTGCCTCATTACCATAATCAGGGCTGTTAACGCTGTCCTCGTAAACACCATACCTTGATAGCTGGGAAGGAGGGCGGGGGGTAAGTCAGTGCGAGGCTGAGCAGTCACGGACACGCACAAACACCTGGGAAATATCTCAACTGACTATCCCTGTCAGCTTAGGTTAGGAGTTAGGTGGTTAGGTAGGGGTTGGTTAGGTAAGGGTTGGTTAGGTTAGGTTAGGTGTTAGGTTAGGTTAGCGTCACTGACTCTGTATGTGGGAGGAGGAAGGTAGGTAGGTTAGTAGGTTAGGTTAGGTTAGGTTAGGGTTAGGGTAGTTAGTTAGGGTAGGTTAGGTTAGGTTAGGGTGGTTAGTTAGCGTCACTGACTCTGTATGTGTGAGGAGAGGAAGGTGGTAGGTTAGGTTAGGTTAGGTGGTTAGGTTAGGTTAGGTTAGGTTAGGTTAGGTTAGCGTCACTGACTCTGTATGTGTGGGAGGAGGAAGGTGGTAGGTGGTTCAGTGAGCTCCCCATGTTAGGGTGTTCATGACTGTGACCCGCCGTCCACGATTCTCCACGGGGATTGTGTGAGATGTCTTGTGGTTACCTCCTGACTCTCTCAAAGCCCAATTAAAATAGTATTACCAAATATTGTAAAGAATAAAGATTGTATTGTCAAGCAGTTTATAACACAACGTATGTACACCAGACCCAACCTAACCTAACCTAACCTAACCAGAACCAACTATATCATGGTAGCATCTCGTCCATACATCACAGGGACAGTTATGTACAGGTAAGATGATCATTTGTCTCAGGTGTTTCAATTTAAGACTTTGGGAATATTTAGACGTGATGAAGCAGATATTTCCCACAGACCAATGGCGACCCTCCACTGTTTCTCACTTTCACCCCCCCTCTCCTCCTCGAGGACGACTTGAGCCAGGCGGTGTTTTACTGCAACAAATGGTCACTGAGGAACGGCCACTGTTTGTGTAACAGCATTAGTTAGTGTCAACGTGTCCTAGGGAGGTGGAGGGGACGAGAGAGAACGTGGAGGGAAAGTGAGAGGAGGGGAGTAGAGGTGAAAGGGGGGAGGTGAGAGGAGGGGGAGGAGAGGAGAGAGGAAGATTACAACCCGTAAAAAGGTCTTGTTGTTTCTATTCATACTTACTATTGAGACTTTCCTGGGTGATATATCCAGGTTGTGGAGGACAGTATACTTCACCTCTGGTTTATGTGGAAATATTTCTGCCTGGATTATGTCACAGTTTCGAGGGGTGGAGGGGCTGGTGTTGGTGACCTCTCAGTTAGTGGGGACTGAAGACTTTGGGACGAAGGCGTGGGACTGAAGGCGTGGGGACTGAAGACTTTGGGACGAAGGCGTGGGACTGAAGGCGGGGACTGGAAGGCGTGGGGACTGAAGACTTTGGGACGAAGGCGTGGGACTGAAGGCGTGGGGACTGAAGACTTTGGGACGAAGGCGTGGGACTGAAGGCGTGGACTGAAGGCGGGGACTGAAGACTTTGGGACGAAGGCGTGGGACTGAAGGCGTGGGGATCGAAGACTTTGGGACGAAGGCGTGACCGAAGGCGGGACTGAAGGTGGGGACTGAAGACTTGGGACGAAGGCGTGGACTGAAGGCGTGGGACTGAAGACTTTGGGACGAAGGCGTGGACTGAAGGCGTGGACTGAAGGCGGGGACTGGAAGACTTTGGGACGAAGGCGTGGGACTGAAGGCGGGGACTGAAGCTTTGGGACGAAAGCGTGGGACTGAAGGCGGGGACTGAAGACTTTGGGACGAAGGCGTGGGACTGAAGACTTTGGGACGAAGCGTGGGACTGAAGGCGTGGGGACTGGAAGACTTTGGGACGAAGGCGGGATCAGAAGACTTTGGGACGAAGGCGTGGACTGAAGGCGTGGGGACTGAAGACTTTGGGACGAAGGCGTGGACTGAAGACGTAGGGATTGAAGACGTGGGGAAAGACGTTGGTTACTTCACGTTTAAGAGTCAGTTTGGTTCATAGCACCCACAGGTTCAAAGTCGGCCAAACCCCTTGCTTTGACACAAGGGCGTTCTGTACACCACCAACCTCCCGGGGAGTGTCACGCCCACAACAAACCCTCAGATAACCCTCGAAGCACCAGATGTACGCCCTTCCCAGTTGCCAATTATCCGGATCTTCAGTAATCCCTGTTACCATTGGGAACAAATGAGCGAATAATTGTAAACCCACACCGCGTCCCCGCCTTAATCCTAGAGGTGTGTGGAGGGTGAGGCGGGAGGTATCACGGTGGTGTCAAGTTTCAAGACCATCCCACGGCTTTACGGGCGGCCAACATCCATGACACCCGCGCGGCTCATCGTAAAAGATGGTAAAATAGATGGTCAAGCATGAACCCCAGTGGCGGCGGTGGGGGTAATCCCTCTCTGGTGAGGGAGGTTGTCATGGTGCTCGCTGGAGTATGCGGCGCCTCTCCGATTCATTTGTTCCGGGAGCGTCATCGCAGCTGCCCCACTACACCCGGCTCGGCTCGTTGTGGCGCGGACCTCTAAAAACACTAATTTATTTTGTTTGGCTTTTGTTGTGATATCGATTCGTTTCCTCATTCTGACGTGTTTGAATTCTTAGCATAAAAACAAAAACAAAACATTCCGTCGGTTATTTTATGTGATTGATCTCTGGAGATGAAATAGGAACGGATAATATTGAATACTGTATGAGAGGAGAACACAGCAGACTAATGCTATAGTATGCACTGCGGCGTCCAGCGTCACAACACAGCGCCACCTGGTCCTGGGCCCCATGAATGAACACGAGCCGCGCCACAATGCGACCCTGGGGCGCCTCTGTATGGTGATGAAATTTATTCTCTGCTGCTATTATTCGTCTTCTTATGAGACGCCATCAAATGTGACTTCTTTTTTACCAGTAGCAAGAGGTGCTTAGAGAGGGGCCGCTCCAGCCAGAGATGGTTGGTTCAGGCGAGTGGCGGAAACACTCGTTGATTATTAATGTTTACGGGATTATTATGTAAATCTTCTCCATTATGAGCCCCTCGGTCCACTTTGACCCCCCCTCTGGCATAACTGCTGGCCCCCACCACTGGACTACACGGGGGAGGGGGAAGGACCACCACATACACGGGACCAGGGAAGGCCACCACATGCACGGGGCCAGGGAAGGACCACCACATACACGGGGCCAGGGAAGGACCACCACATACACGGGACCAGGGGAAGGCCACCACATACACGGGACCAGGGTAGAGGTATCATGTCGAGGTCATTGTAGGGCCATTAAATGCTTCTCAGATGATGGTCCAGACCACTGATGGGGATGAACGAAGGTCACCATTGTCGGGGACCATTAGACATATCCCGAGTTGGCGAAGGACCACTAATAGGGGCCACTGGCAGCCAGGGACCATGCACGTGACAGCGGGCAGTTAGACGAGGGCTGCGACAAAGGGCGTGCCAGAGAATAACCCAGTGATGCCGCCTGCCCTGTCGTGGGTGGTGGCGTGGCTCCCGCAGTGTGTGGCCACTGATGGTGTGGCCCTAGTGGTGTGGCTCCTGGTGGTGTGGCCACTGATGGTGTGGTCCTGGTGTGGTCACTGATGGTGTGGCCCTGGTGGTGTGGCTCCTGTGGTGTGGCCACTGATGGTGTGGCTCCGTGGCGTGGCTCCTGGTGGTGTGTCCACTGATGGTGGCTCCTAGTGGTGTGTGGCTCTGGTGAGTGTGGCCACTGATGGTGTGGCTCCTGGTGGGTGGTCCCTCATCTCTTCTCTTGTTCTCTCTCTCTCTAGGTAGAGTGTTTAACCATTAGGTGAAATAATCAGGGTAGGGACTAATCTTCAGGTGATCCAAGAGTTGTATTGCAGCCACAGAGAGGAGAGAGAGAGAGAGAGAGGAGAGATATGAGGGTAGTGAAGACCTGTGTGTCCATCTTGGCTCGTCATAAATGGATGATAAACTGTTATTATCTCCTGGCCTTCCTCTCTCCTCTCCATCCATCCATCCACCTCTTCCGGCCCTCCCTCTCCTCCCACCACCTCCCTCCCACCTGCCCATCCTCCCTCTCCTCCCACCACCTCTGGGCATCCACTCTACAAACTGAATTAGCTGCCACTCACAGCTATTAAATTCATTGAAACCACTGTTACTGACAGTCTCATCATCACTGACTCCTCTATCCTCACTACTTGCCCTGGCACCTCGACTCAGGCTGTCACGCTCTTGTCTCTGAAGCCAGACACAAATATGTGCCTCTTGTTGACCGGGGTGTCAAGGTCAAACTGTTGTGGATCCTCTCACATAGACCTCTATAAAACATGACAGAGTTGATGCCCTCGCCAAACTCGCGTCTAACAAAGACACTGTTGAATACAATTTGGGTCTGTCAAAAGAACCCTTAAAACTGTAATTAGGAAAGAACTTATTGATGAGTTTGACGCAAGTAGACAAGTGCAAACAGGCACTAGTCGATCCATAGGTTACCATGATGGAGATGTATCAAGTGAAACATGTATATGGAGCAAGTAACAAGATCACTAGATTACAAGATGTTGTAACCGCTAGATTAAAGTTAGGATATAAGTACCTTTGGCAGTATGTTCCTCAGGCAGATGTAAACAAACTAGTCGTAAAGTGTGTACGACAGGCCACACACTTTGAACACTACGTCCTCGACTGTGTGAAGATCGAACCTTTTAGGACAGGTCCAAGCACACTGTGTGAAATGGCACAACACTTCATCTCTAATGGCAAGATAGCCGACATATTAAGATTGTATCCACTTTTTGCACTTAGTAACTATATCAGTTCTCATGTACAGAACCAGATACGCAATGTGCTTGAATACCTCCCACGTAAATGTTCAACAACAAAGGTGAGGCCAGACATACTGCCTCACACGCCTGTACTCACGCATTTGTGAATAAGTTACCCCTTATGTATAGAACTAAACAAATAATGTAAATGAAATACTGTAACATCAGTGCCATAATATCCTGACAACAGGGGCATTATTATGACCCTTTGTAAACTCTACTCTGTAATCCTTTTGCGCTACCGCTCACAGGATGAGTGTGGGTGCACAATAAACTAGCCGCTGTAAGACAAAATCAAATCACTCTCCCACCTCCATCCTCCTCTTCTTCATCGCCTTCCTCCATCTTCCTTACCCTCCTGATCTTCTCCTTCCTCCTCCTCCTACCTTTCAATCATCCCCAAATAATCTTTACTTAAGAGAGGAGCGAGGGGGGCATGGTTGGGGTCCCTCCCTTGTTGGTGGGGGTCTGTGGGGGTTAAATAATAGAGGAGGGGAGGATTTTCCCACCCCCTGTTTATTGATAGAGTTGAGAGGGTCATGGGGAAGGAAGGGGTGGGGTCGAGAAAGATTAAGAGAGGGGGGGTGGTACGGCAGGTGTGTGTGGGGTGGGGTTGTAATGGTGTCACGGTAAGTCATCAGGACGGACGGCAGCCAGTGACGCTTGATCCAGACGATTTCCTTCCCCACCTTCCTGATTATACGGTACCTTTAACCTCTTGACCTATCCTGATTTTCAACTCACAATAAATTGACCTCGCTTAACCCTTTGACCTCACATGACCTTGACCTAGCATCACATTGACTTCACCTGACTTTAACCTGAACATCACTTGACCTCACCACACCTTGACCTCACTGACCATATCCTCACTTGACCTTTGACCTCACTTGACCTCACTTTTCTTATTTTTTATCTCTTGCTTATCTCTTCTCTTCTCATGTTTGTCATTTTGTTTATCTTTCTCTTGTTTGATATCTGTTATTATTTTATCACTCTTCATCTATCTCCTCTCTCTCTCTCTCTCTCTCTCTCTCTCTCTCTCTCTCCTTCGTTTACTGCGGCTCAACTTAGTTTCTGTAAAGGAGTAATATTCAATAACGTCAATAGTAAACAAAGAAAAGAGGAGAGAGAAGAGACGCAAGACAAAGAAGAGGAGGAGGGGGAGGGGAAGAGGAGGAGGGGGAGAGGGAAGAGGAGGAGGGGAGTAGGGAAGAGGAGTGAGGGGAGGGGAAGAGGAGCAGGGGAGGGAGGGAAGAGGGAGTGAGGGGAGTAGGGAAGGAGTGAGGGGAGTAGGGAAGAGGATTGAGGGAGTAGGGAAGAGGAGTGAGGGGGAGAAAAAGAGGAGGAGGGGAGTAGGGAAGAGGAGAGGGGAGTAGGGAAGAGAGTGAGGGGAGTAGGGAAGAGGAGGGAGGGGAGAGGTAAGAGGAGAGGGAAGAGGAGTGAGGGGAGAAGAGGGAGGAGGGAGAGAGGAGGGGAGGAAGGGAGAAGGGAAGAGGAGTGAGGGGAGGAGGAAGGGGAGAGGGAAGAGGAGGAGGGGAGAGGGAAGAGGAGGAGGGAGTAGGGAAGGGGAGGAGGGGAGAGGAAGAGGAGGAGGGGAGAGGGAAGAGGAGTGAGGGGAGTAGGGAAGAGGAGGAGGGGAGTAGGGAAGAGAGTGAGGGGAGGGAAGAGAAGGCGGAGGGGAGAGGGAAGAGGAGGGAGGGGAGAGGGAAGAGGAGGAGGAGGAATAGGAAGGAGGAGGGAGGGGAGGGAAGAGGAGGGGAGGGGAGAGGGGAAGAGGAGGAGGGGAGAGGGAAGAGGAGAGGAAAGAGGAGTGAGGGGAGTAGGGAAGGAGGAGGAGGAGGGGGAGGGGGAAGAGGGAGGGAGGGAGTAGGGGAAGAGGAGGAGGGGAGGGAAGAGGGAGAGGGGAGAGGAAGAGGAGGAGGGGAGAGGGAAGAGGATTGAGGGGGGAGGAAGAGGAGGAGGGGAGGGGAAGAGAGTGAGGGAGTAGGGGAAGAGGAGGAGGGGAGGGGAAGAGGAGGAGGGGAGAGGGGAAGAGAAGTGAGGGGAGAAGAGGAGTGAGGGGAGTAGGGAAGAGGAGTGGGAGAGAATAGGGAAGAGGAGGAGGGGAGAGGGAAGAG